AAGTAGAAAACATGTGATTAGTGTAATAATTCATTATGTGACAAGAGTGTCTACATTAATTTCCATTGTTAAGAAACTAACATATAGTAATATAACACTTACCAAGCATGATAAATTTAATTAATTAATTTATGGTATTTTTTTTTTCCAGGCAGCTCTTCCTCAAGCTATTGTCACATTTGTTTTTGCAAAGGAGAACAATGTCCATGCTGACATATATACAAAGCACAGCATAAGAATTTAATTTAATTGATCTTTTAGTGAATTGGTTTTTTCTGTTTTTTTGTTTTTTAAAAAAAAAACAATTAATGGTGAGACAAAACTAATTAGAGGTCATATATATATATATATAAAAGGATAGTGTTGGTAAGTTATCCTTTTAAAATTTTTTTAAAAGATTTGTTTCAAAATTAAATTTTAATTAATATTTTCAAAAATGAATCATTAAATTGAAAGTTTTATTAATATAAATCATGCATATCAGTTTTCATATTGATATAACTAAGGGTGTTCGCGGTGTGATTTAATTTGAATTTTAATATTTTTAAACCAATCTAATTTAATCAGTTAATAGAATCTTGAAACCAATCCAATCCCCTATTATATAATAATCAAACCAATCCAACTTAAATCGGATTGGTGTGGTTCAGTCGAATTGATCGATTTTTATTATTGTTAAATATATGAGATAATATAAAAATATTTTAGTATCAAATAGAAAACATAACTATAAAACACATTAACATCCAAATTAGTAAAAACATAATAAAATGTATAAATTATAAATAAGTTTTTATACTCATTTACATTTATAAAAATTGAAAAGCTTTGAAAATTCTTCTTGGTTGCATCACTAGAGGTACCAAGAATAATAAAATATGACTTCAAGTTTCTAGCACAATGTAAATCATTTTTAAAGGTTAAAATTAGTTTTTTTTTTTCTTGATGCACTAATAATTTAATCACTTCTTCTAAATCTTGTTAAAAGTAAATAAAATTTAACATAAATATTACTAAAATTGATTATAAGCATTCATAATCAAAATTTAAAAGTTCTAAACCAAATATCCAATAATAGTAGAATATCAAGACTAGATTTATTATATTGTTTTAAGACTTTTAAAATAATACTTTTTTAAAACTTAGTTAAGAGAATCATAATATTATTTTAGAAACAAATTAGAAATTTAGGATTCTAAAAGTAATAGCAAAAACCAATTTTCAGGAGATAGAGTTACAGGTAAATTAAAAATTTAGAATTAGGGTTAAGATACATGGTTAAAATAGAAAAAGTACTTTAGGAATATGGAGATGTTTTATTTTTATTTTTTAATTAAATTAATGAAGTTATTATCTTGTAAAATAAAAAAAGAAATTTTAAAATACTACAAAAAATTATATTATATTATTTAATTAAATTATCTTGTAATCAAATTTTATTTTGTAATCGGACAGTTCGGGCGGTTTGAAGATAAAACCACAAACCAATTATATCAGTTTTAAAATTTTATAATTTAAACCAACCCGATTTAATATTAGTTTAGATCAATTTTTGATTGGATTGATCAGTTCAGGTCGGATCAATCGGATTAGATCGGATATGAACACCCTTAGATATAACATTTATAACCCTCTTATTAAAGGAACTCTATTTATTGACATACATTTAATGATATTAAATTTTTTATAATTATTGAAATAGTTAGACTTATTAAAATAATTTAAAATTTAGTATGCACCATCTATATTAATAAAAACTTTCAATTTAATTGTTAATTTTTAG